CGGGGGTGTCCAAAGCAGGCCGCCCTCCCACAGCAGGCTCCTCCGCGCTCGTTTGCTTCCCGTGCCGATCATCTTTTCAGGCAGGACAGACTCAGCTGTTCAATTACCTTCAAGAGCAAAGGTAATTTTTCTCTCCCCTCTCTCAAGAAACAGCAAATTATGCCAGATGTCTGTCATGCCCTGTTCACCAGCGTTTGGGCTCCTCCTTCACTAACCCGCATTTGTACATCTGGGCAAAAGTGAAAACAGTACATAAAAGCCACAGCAAAACTGGCCAGCGATTGCGTCTGTGCGGGCCTGGACATCAGGAAGGAACTGGTGGCTATTGGATCAGTACGGCAGTGGGACCCAAGCCCTGGGGAGGTGGTGGGCTCTCCCACACGAGAGGCCTCCAAATGCAACTGGAGAGCCACCTGAGAGGGATGGTGCGCTGAGCAGGGGCCTGGAACTGATGGTTCTCTGGCCCCTTCCAACTCGACTCATCCATGATTCTTTGAAAGCCGGCCCCTGCAGGTAGTGAGGCTCTTCAGTCCATGAGCTGGGCCACCCTCAGTCTTTGGACAGGGCACTGAGACACAGACAGGCCCTCCAGCCCATGGGCTGACCTTGGCCCAGCAGGCCTCCCCGCCCAGCCATGCTCTTAGTGAGGGCCAGGAAAACCCCATGAGTCCGCATCTCGCAAACAGCCCCTTGAGCCCCGCCCCCCTCACTCTTGTGGGCAGAGAAGCTTCAGGAGCTCGCCAAATCCCTTGAGTGCGAGGGGTGATTCTGAGCAATTTGCCACGTGCAGGGCGGTGACGGCAGCAGCACTGCCTTTTCCTTTTTTCCTAGGGCCTCCCTGCCCGTCTGGGTAGCACCAGGACTAGCTGCTCACAGGGGGGCCAAGGGCCATTTTCCAGCATTCTGGAACATGAGTATATGTGGAAGGTCTTAACAAAGCACGTAAAATTAAAAAACAGGCCACTGAGTCGATTTTCTAACACAGCTGGGGATGTTGATGAAATCTGCCATAGGTTCAGGTGAGTTCAGACTTCCACGACTCCCCACCTGGAGATCCGAAGGGAATGAGCCCTTTCCAAAGCACGCAGATTGTGCAGGTTCGGATCACGCCCCAGCCCTGCTGCATCCCCAGGGGTGAGCAGGATCCGTGCCAGGGCGTCTTAGCACATGCTCGTGTTTGCAAGTGAACAAAATTCATACAAAAAAATCCAATTCCATCCGTGAATGGATGATGGAACGAGAGACCCCATCAATGCACAAAACAGACAGAGCGGATCACAGAATCCCACCAGGGGCTACGCAGAACTCATTCGGTGCCTCAGAATCAAAACCACAACAGCCCCTGAACTCCCCCTCCCCCCGCAATCCATTCAACATCAGACAATCCCCAAGCATCACCCCTGTTAAGAAGAGCTATTCCACACAAGCCACTGCCCTGATGCTGCTGCTTTCTGCATGAAGGACTGAGTGGGGAGAGCCAGGAAATTTGGGTGTGCTCCTTCCAGCAAGATGGCACTACATGCCGAGCTTCCTGGGAGGCTCGGCCCGGCGCTGGACTGACCCGCCTTTGCACACCAAGTCAGTTCTCAGAGCCTCACACTTTCTTCCCAACTTGCCAGCTGGGAAGTTGTTTGGAGCAGGGGCTGCATCCAGTGGTGTCTAAAGCCCCGGGACGCCGGAATCAAGAGGGGCGGGCCCCTTGCCGGCATGTCCGTGGGGGTGGCATCCGGCAGCCCCAGCCTGGAGGCAGGCGGTCTCCCAAGCACCCCCTGGAGGAGGGCTTACCTGCAGCACGGAGTGCCCCATGGGGCTGTTCTCGGAGAGCTCGGCCTCGTACAGTGGCTTCTCGAACTTGGGCGCGTTGTCGTTCATGTCCAGGATGGTGATGCGGAGCAAGGCGCTGCTTGCCCGCGGTGGGCTGCCCCCGTCCTGCACGCGGATGGTGAGGTCGTAGGACTCGGCCTGCTCCCGGTCCAGGTTCCCCATCACAATCAGCTGTGGCTGCTTCTCGCCCTGGTCCTCGGCCACCTGCAGGCCGAAGAGCTTCTGGGCGTCGGAGCCCGGCATGAGCTCGTAGGAGGCCACGCCGTTGGCCGCAGCGTCACGGTCCATGGCCAGCGGGATCGGGAAGAGCGCGCCGATGTTGGTGTTCTCGGGGATGGCCAGCGTGATGACAGGGGAGGCGAAGTTGGGCGTGTTGTCGTTGATGTCCAGCACCTCGATCTGCCCCTCCAGCAGGCGGGGGCTGTTGCTCAGCAGGTCCGTGATGGAGACCTCGAACTCCAGGAAGCACGGCTCACCGGGGAGCAGCTGCTGGCACTCGCGCAGGCTCTCCCGGTCGATGGAGGTCTCCGTGGTGAAGATGTCGCCGGTCTTGCCGTCCACCCGCAGGTAGGGGGAGCCCACCTCCAGCTTGTACAGGTGCCCCACGTCCGGGAAGCCGTAGTCGGCTGCCAGGCTGCCGATCAGCGAGTTGGGCGGCTGCTCCTCTGGCACCTTGTAGACCACGCGTGTCCCGGAGCCCAGGCCGGGCAGCTGGAGGAAGAGCCACAGGCCGAGGCAGGAGACCAGCTGCCTCATCCTGAAGCGCGGCGGGGCTGGAAGGAAGCAGAAAAGCAGGCCATCAGGACGCTCACGGGCCGCCTCCCGCCCACCGCACCTGCTTCCCTGTGGGCGGGCAAACGCTCGCCGGGCCCGGCCGTCTCCAGGGAGCAGCGCCGGCTCCGGAGCCATAAACTGCCTCTGCCCCAGCCGCCACACCCGCCCTCCGCGGAGGAGGCCACGCCGCCTCGGCTCCACACCTCCCGCTCGCAGAAGGCTCAGCTCCCTGGCGGGGAGCCAGGGGGCGGCCCGCGTGAGCCTTGCGCAATCCAGCTGGTTCCGCGGCCTCCACGCAGGTTCGCAGCATCAGCTTTGCCCCACATTCGCCTGCCCCGGCGGCCAACGCCCGGGAGGGAAGCACCCCCGCTCGGCAAACAGAGGCAGCGGGGCACCCAGCCGAGCGGCCCAGCCGGCCACGGCCTCTGACGCGAAGCGGCGCGGCCAGCCGCCCAGCCCAGAGCGGTCCTGTTTGTTCTCTGACGGGCCGGCTGATAGCGAGAGGAAGCCGAGCCTTGCAGGCCCAGCAGGCAGGGTGGCGGGCGGGCTGACTGGACACGCAAAGCGACCACTCTCGCTCGCCCACACGTGTCCGGCAGTGGCCTCTCCTCTCCCGCCCCGCTCAAGCACAGCCTCCTCGGTCAGGCGGCAGAGGGGTCTCACGAATCCCCCGCGAGCAGCAGCACCGGGCTCTCCGCTGCTGGGAGCGGAGGCTGTCCCTGCCGGCATTTGCAGGCGCGTTCAAGATGGTCGGAGGCCCCCGGGAAGGGGAAGGGGCGCGGGGACAACTGCGCTGCCGGGGGAGAGTGCGGCACCGAGGTGGCCGGCGGTGGCCTCCCAAGCACACGTGCAGCCCTCGTTCAAGCGCCGCATTTCCCACCTTCCGTGGCGAGCCAACCTGGGTGGCTGAGCGGCCGCGATTTGCAAAAGCCCATTGTGTCTCCCGGGTGTCGAAGCTCCGGAAGTCTCAGGCGGGCTGGATGGCTGCACAGGCCAGCTCCCCACCCCCCGCCCCCCGGCTCGGCTGTGTGGCCCCAGCTGTCCGCCTCGCTGCTCCGCCTGGGAAGAGCGCTGCAGAGCAGATGATGGCAGAGGAGCGGGGCGCCGCGAGGCACGGGCCGGGTGCTCCTGCAGGCGAGTGGCGCGGAGAGTGCCGGTTCCCGCTGGGGGAACCGTTCCCGCCGGTTCCCGCTGGGTTCCCGCAAAGAGCCGGTGAGCGGTGCTCACAGGGTCGGCCCGCCGAATCCGCAAGGGCTGCCACAATTCACCCTGTTCTCCGAAGCTCGGCTTTTTGGAGGGGAAGCAACCCTCCAGGACCTCTGCAGCTGGGCATGGATTTTGGGAGCACTGTGCTGCCGTCCAGCAAGCCACGCCATCCTGGCTCGGATGACACGGCGAGTCGTGGCCGGGGCTGGACGAGCATCCAAGAGCATCCCTGCCTCCCTCCATCCCCCGACCTATTTGTCAGCCATGGGGAAGCAAGTGGGCTTTCTACTCAGGCGGCAGAATCCCTGCCGCTCGAGCCAAAGGGCTCCCCGCCCCCAGCTGCCCTCCTCCCGGGGGCTCCATTCTGCCGAGGCCTTCCTGGTCCAGCGCCCGGGGGCTGGGCTCGCAGGCCACATCCGGGCTGGCAAGAGGCTCTGCAGAAGGAAGACTGCTCAGCACACTTGGCAGGCAAAGCATTGGCAGCGGCTGGGGGCCATGCCCCCCCAGCCCTGGGAGCAGCCCTGCCTGTGGGCTGGCCGGGCCCGGGGGACACCCCACTGGTAAAGCCAGCACAAGGCCGCGGAGAGGCCGGCCGCTCACAGCGGGGGTCCGGGGCGTCTCCGGGCGCTTCCGGGGCGCAGCACCACCGCCGGCCCTCCCTCTGAGCTGGGGTGGGGAGGGGCAGGCGTGTCACTTTGTGCCACGCATGGAAGGGGTGCTCCCACCCCACCCGTCCTGGCCCTGGGCTACAGTGGAGGGGAGCAGGCTGCCTTCTGGAGGGCCGTGGGCACCGGTCGCTTGCCCTGGCCTCTGGGCGGCCAGAGGCCCAGGGACCCCGGGGCCTGCACTGGAACCGGTGACCCTGATCGACCTCTGGGGGCTCATGGAATCACCGGGCCACGGGGACACTGGCTGCGGTGCCAGCACAGAACGGCTGCCACGGGAGGCCAGCCGGTCCCCAAGGACCTGCGTGCCGGGCAGACGGGGCCCAATCCCTGAGCACGGCAGCACCGGCGGAAGCCTGTTTGCTCTCCGGGTCCACCGGTGCTTTGCTCTCCCCCCCCCCCCGGCTCACCGCCCACCCGCAACCCTTTCCCTGGATCACCCTCTGGACACATGCGCTCTCCTCCGGGCATGGCCCTCCTCCGCCCGTCCGCTCCTCGGAAAAACAGACCTGCTCTTTACCAGAATCCCTCCGACACCCAACCCTTCGCTCCCCCTCCTCCTCACACACGCGCGCGTGCACGCACACACACACACACACACACACGCACACAGAGCGCCTCCATCCACAAACCTTCTCCCATCCTCCAAGCGGCTTCCCGGACTTTCCCAGCCCCTCCCGCTTTCCCTCCCTCCGGCCTTTCCTCTGGCCAACGGCTTTCCCTGGCCCACCTGCTTACTCGGCTCTCTACTGACTTCTGGGGAGCTCCCTCTTCTTTCCCCTTGCCCCCCTTGATTGACGGTTATGCAGACACTGACCGGCAGCACCCCACCACCTGCTTTGTGCAAGAGTGCCTCTGAGCGCAGCGTGTGGCCCAGAAGCACTCCTGGGAGACGGAGAGCACAGCGCTGCTCTCTGCTTGCCCCCTCCAAATTGCTTTCCAAGGTCTTCGGGGATCCTGCAGGATTCGGCCTTCGGGGATCCTGCAGCAAAGGCAGCTGAGGCCGAAACACTGTTCACAGAGTTTACAAACACTCGCCGAGGGGAAACCGTGGACAGTCTTAATGGCCACAGCACACAAGCAAAGTGTGAGATCTGGGTGTAGACACACCGGCTGACTCCTAACGAAACTGCAGCCCTGTATTTCCTGAGTCTCCACCGCAATCTCTTACAGAGTTTTCAGCTTTTACAAGGATTCTCCAGAACAGCTTTCTGGTTTTCTCTTTCACTGAATCACCTGCTGGAGGGAAACGTTCAGGCCCGGATTCGGTGCAGCAATTGCATTCCAAGTGCCCAAATCTCCCCTCTATTTCAGGCTTTCTTTCCATGGTCAAGTATCTATTTTGGCTTCCACCTTTTATAAATTAAGAACAACTAGCGTTCTTGCAATCCTTAACCAATCAGGAAGGTTCTCACTTGCCCGAAATGCCTTCTATGAAACTATTTGCAAACATTTTTGCAGAAATAAAACCACTTCTGCCAACCTACAGATTCTGCGACACCTCGATGTAAACAAACCATCGTCTGCTGTTTTATCTCGCTAACAATCTGAAAAACTCATTAGCAAAACCTGTTGGAACCTAATTTGTGCATCACCTTTCTACCAAAGAAGGTCACCCAAGGAAGCTCATATGCAACCAGCTAGAACGGATGCAAGTGATACATTAACGTGCAGCAAAAAATGATAACCGCGGAAAAAAATATTGCCTGGCCCCTCAGAGCCACTCCCTGGCTCACGGCCTTCTGCCACCGGAAGGCTGCGTAAAGGGCAGGGGCCTGGGAAGGGGGTTCCACAGCGGGAGGGGCTGCCCCAGAGGCCTTCCCCAGGCTCGCGGCCCGCTGCTCCTGCGAAGGGCTCCGCGGGAGGTCGGGGGAACGAGGCGGGCTTGCGGCGGGGAGCGCGCACTGGGCACCTGGCCCTCAGCGCGCAGCTCGGCACCCACCACGCGCGCACTCAGGGCAGCCGTGCTCGCCCCGCGGCCTGGGCAAGTCCCTCGGCCTCTTCTAGGCAGGATGGCATCTTACCTGCCCCTGCTGCCCCCCCCCCCATACAAGCGCGCGCGCCCCTGGCTGCCCTTGCAAGCCAGGAAGGGGCCGGGGCCAGCCCACAAGGCGCCCCGCTCTAGCTGGCCCTTAAGTCTCCCGCAGCCGAGCGTGCGCCTCACCATGGAGAAGCGGCAGCCCGAGGGCCGCCCGCCGGGCCCGCGCCCCCCCCCCCGCGGCATCCAGGCCGGCCCGGCCTCCCCGCGGAGCGCCGCGCAGCTGGCCTCGGCCCGGCGCAGAGCGCCCCGCTCCGCTTGCCCGGGCGCCGCGAAGCCCTGGCCGGAGACAGCGCGGGCGGCCGCGGCGGAGCGGGTCCTTCGGCCCCCCACGGCCGCCCGCATCCACGCTCGGCCGGGAGCGGCCAGGGGGGCGCCGGGCTGGAGCCGCGACCCTTCGCCTCTCGCAGGCGCGGATTTGGCGCGCCCGTGGCTCCGAGCGCACGACGCGCTCCGGGCCTTCCTCTCCTCCGGCGCGTTACGACCTCCTTTCTGGTGTGCCTGCTTTGCAGCGAGTGCAGAAGAGCTGCGGAAAAGCGGGCATCCTAGCTATTGGAAAATCAGATGCAGAAAAGATGGCTAGTTATATAAGCTTTCTGGGAAATTTTTCCACAAAAATCTCCCTCGCTAATATTTGCACATGGCAACTGGCAGGGGAAATTTTCAGTTTGCATCAGAAAAGGTCTTTATGCCCCAGAGATTGAGTGTAATGTTTATTTTATGTATATTTAACTAACAAAACTAAATACCACATGGGTTTTTCTGTACCTACATACACCACAACTATCTGACCTGAAATAAATGAGGGGAAAATTAAAGCACAGGTAATGTGATGTAAATGTTACATGATATTGCTATTTTTATTGGAGTATATGCAAAAATGTAAACACATTAAGCCCACTGTTCCCTTGCATTGCTTAAAGTTAAGGGGGAAAACCAACAAAGGTACTGAAAATGGTTGACAGGCCCCCTGATGTTTAGCAATCCAGCAAACTCGACACTGATATCTTGACAACTGCTCAGCTATGTCAAGATGCTGCATTGTTTCTTTCTTTCTTAAAAGCTTTGCTAACCCATCCACTGCTTCTGCCTGGGGGGCTTGTAGTGCAACTCACTTCTACTGAAGCTGCAGGAGCATCTTCAGGTCATTGTTACAAATGAAGGCATGAAATAGGATTCCCCCCCCCCCCCCACACACACAGAATAACGGAGCACTGTAAGACTTT